GCCGCGGCAAGGGCTCAGCGGTCGGCAACCCCCAGCCTGCTGTCACGGTATATAGGGTCGTAGAGCCCTTCCCGAGCACGCTAGCGACACCTATTGGTCTGTCACGTTACATTTGGTGCTCCAGCCGGTCCTGGCCAGTCCTCTCAGAGCGGAGGACGCAGGTTCGAACCCGGATGCGTGCAGATCGTGTTTCGCCCCGAAGCCACAGGGTGGCAGCCAGACAGGCTCGAGGACGAGCCTGGGCTAGGTGGGGGTGAGTGTCACGGTATATAGGGTCGTAGAGCCCTTCCCGAGCACGCTAGCGACACCTATTGGTCTGTCACGTTACACCTGCTGCGCGCGTCCTCTCTCAGAGCGGGGCAACACAAGGGGGCCGTGGTTGCACCCACAAAAAACATTGCGCCCAGCAGCTAGCATCACTGCGCCCGCCCGTCCCTGACTCTGCCTTCCACTCTTTCGAGCGCGCCACGCAACGCGCGGCGCCGGGCAGCTGCTGATCGGGGGTGAATGGGTGAGCCCCGCCGCCGACGGCGTGCTCCCCGTCATCGACCCGAGGAGCGAGGCGCACCTAATGGACGCCGCGGCGGCGGGCACGGAGGACGTCGACGCGGCCGTGACGGCGGCGAGGCGCGCATTCGACGAGGGTCCCTGGCCGAGGATGACCGCAAAGGCGAGCTCGGGCGCGCCGCGAGGGCCGCAGTGCGCACGCCTGTGTTTGCTTTGCTGCCTGCCACCCAGCTGCCGTACAAGTTGTGAGCAACCAAGCAAGCCACCTTGATAACATCACCCGCCAAGCGTGATGCAAAGGTTGCCACTGGCTTGATATGCATGCAGCCGTGGCTGCACCCTGTACAGAGCGACATATTGTGAACACAGGAGCGAGGCCGCGTGCTGTACCACCTCGCTGACATCATCGATGCTCACGGCGACGAGCTGGTAGCCCTGGAGACGCTGGTGGGTGGATGGAAGCTTCACCTTGCACCACTGACAATTGCAGCCAGAGGGCTCGTTCGTGCGGGCAGCTGCGCAGCCGCCACACCCACAGACATGTGCCAATCGGCGTAATCCGTGGCGCAATTCGTAATCCGTGGTGCAGCCGCCTTGCTTGCTTGATACTGTTCTACTCTCCAATCTAGACAGCGGCAGTCTGATAGCATGGGTTCATGAGGCTGTTTTCTTGCTTTGGAGGAATAGCCCTTGGGCTCACAGTGGTGCACCGCCCTCCTCTCAGGATGTGGGCATGCCCATCACCTGCAGCCGCGGCCAGGAAGTCTCAATCACATCCGACCTGTTCCGCTACTTTGCAGGATATGTGCGCGCATACTCTGATGACAGCGTGCGCTCTGCTGCAAAAGGGGCCCTCGGCCACCGCTTGCTTCGATTCAGACCTCGCCTTGTCGCGTCAGCTATAGATCCTGCGCCCTGCTCAGGGGTGCCGTAATAATCAGCGTGCGCCCGTCGCCCTGCGCATCATGTTTATGAGTTTACGCACAAAACGTGCAAAAGCACAACCCTGCCACCACCATGCATGCCAAGGCCGCCTGGTTGCGTCACCCCCAATTGCAACAGGTGGGCGGATAAGATCACGGCAAGACCATCCCCATGGACGGGCCCTACTGGGCCTACACCCACCGCAAGCCGCTGGGGGTTGTGGGTGCGATAGTGCCCTTCAACTTCCCGCTGGCGATGGCCGCCATGAAGCTCGCGCCGGCGCTGGCCTGCGGCAACACACTGGTGTTTGCCAACCTTGGGTCAACAAAGGCAGAAATGCGGGCAACCATCAATTCGCGTCTGAGATGCAGGGCTGCATGGGGAGCTGATTTGCAGATGTTTGCTGCCGATAGATTCATGCGCTTCCCCTGGCAGCATTGACCAGTGCCGCCGGCTTCTGACGCGATTGCCGCCACAACATCTGCATACGGCTGCGCACGCTCACTCCCCCCCAGGTGGCGGAGCAGACGCCGCTGGCCTCCCTGCTGCTTGGCCAGCTCACACTGGAGGCGGGCCTGCCCCCCGGGGTTGTCAACATCCTGTCGGGGCGCGGTAGAGTTGCAGGGGCGGCGCTGGCGGGCCACCCTGGAGTGGACAAGGTGGGCGACATGCCCACCGTTTCCATGCCCCGTCCCAATCCTGAAATGAACATCTGAATCCTGTGTTATGTGTTTGTGCACCGTTGCACGCTGGCCGCCAGGCGCTTCCCATGTTTAGTGCGCTTGGGTAGAGGCCAGCCACAGGGTTGCCCGGCGATTGATGCTGCTTGCTGAAGCCTGACTTCGTTTCATTATTGATGATTCATGAAACATTTCGATGTCGCATGCTTCTTCAGGTGGTATTCACGGGCTCCACTGAGGTGGGGCGGCTGGTGGGTGCGACGGCTGGGCGGAACCTGAAGCCCTGCACCCTGGAGCTGGGTGGGTACTGTAGCAGGCTGGTTGCTTGCATGAGGCCTGCCCACAGTGCAGGTCGTAATCGCTCTGCAGGGCACTCCCAAACGGTACAGTCCACTGCGTCATGCCCCTCGCCACAGATCAGCACCATTCTCTGTCCTCCAAACAGGCATCTATACAGGTCCCTCACCCACGTTTGATGCGCAAACAAGTCAGGCTTACTCCGTGGGCATGCTCATTGCCCCCTCCTCACACCTTGCAGGCGGCAAGAGCCCCCTGATCGTGGAGCCTGACGCTGACCTGGACCTGGCGGTTTCAACCGCCCAGGATGCGAACTTCTTTCACCAGGGCCAGGTGAGAAATATTTCATGGACTAGAAATTATGCAAGGTCGGCAAGGCTGCTCGTATGCTGAATTGCGGTGCTGCATGATACGTGCCATCGGGCTGTTGGCTCTCTCAGCCACAAGCGGCCTCCGCCTCCAACCATCGCAACGCTAGTTGTGCATTGCCCCTGCTCCATATCATTTGCCCTGAAGTGTTGCACTGCGGGCAGCTGGGTGTTTGTCCACGAGGCGGTGTACGATGAGTTTGTTGCCAGGTCTGTGCACGCCGCCCAGCACAGGTAAGACTGGGGGGGCTGTGGTTCACCACTCAGGATCTTCGCTGAGCTGCCAGTAAACACCTGAGCTGCTACGCCCAGTGTCTTGGATGTGTGTGGCCGCCATGGGTCTGAGATACAGCGTTACAGCCAGCAGCCTGTCTCCTCGGGCTGCCCTCCCTCAACTTCAAAGGGCGCAGCCCCCGCACGCGCCCAACCGGGTGTCCGCCATGATCTGTTGCCTGAGCTGCGTGCCAACCGTCGCCAGCCGCCCTGCAATTGCGGTTGCAACCGCCAGGTCTGTCGGCAACCCCTTTGACGAGGCTGTGCAGCAGGGCCCGCAGGTATCCAGGGCCCAGTTTGACAAGGTGGATGGGGGGCAACACATGCTCGCTCGCAAGCAAGCAAGCATGCATGCATGCATGTTTCAACATTGCCGCGTAGAGTTTTATAGCAGAAGGGATGCCGTATGTGTTGCCAGAACAAGCCTTGGATATAGGAGCCATGCCTTGCTGCTATGCCCGCGGTTTGCCACGCTCAGGTTACTAATGTCATTGTGTGGAAGTGACCCATCACCTGTTGTGCATGCCATGCGTGCTTCGGCTTGCCACCGCAGGTTTTGGGGTACATCAATACTGGCCATAAGGAGGGTGCACACCTAGTTGCCGGAGGCAGCCGTATCGGCAACAAGGTTGGCAGCTACCGGACGGCAGCTTCTAAGTATGCAGGCCAGTGGTGCAGCTGTACCTCGCTCAATGCATGCATCCACCTCTTGCTTGATCCTCCTCGCAAGCCTGTGCATGGGCCTGTATGTCCTGACAATCTTGCTGCTGCATGCAATCGGTGTCCACGCCTTCCGCCAATCATGCAGGGCTTCTTTGTGGAGCCGACGGTGTTCACGGGGGTGCGGGACGACATGGCCATAGCCAGGGACGAGATCTTTGGCCCAGTGCAGTCCATCATGAGGTGGGTGCAAGCAGCCCGCCTGCAGCGCATAGGTGGGGCGCCCCAGGGCGCTCGCCTGTGAATCAGGGCAAGTGCTTAGTGATGCACTTTGAAACGTGCAGATTGGGGTTCTTTATGCGAGCCTGGGCTCTCGATGAAAGATTAAGCCATGGTTTATGCATGTCAGAACAGTGGGAAGTTTTCGAACTCCCCGTGCCCGTGAAGCCTCCTTACCGTAGGGGCTTGGCTGCAACTGCTTCGGCCCTGTGTGCAGGTACAGAACACTGGATGAGGTGCGCTCGTCAACATCCCAACGACACGCATGGGGCGACCCTGGCACCATGATAAATTCCCTGCTTGCCGCTGCTTTGGGGGTTGAAGGCCGCCCTGTTCATTCGGCACTGGCGAGCTCCTGCTTCCAACCATCCGCACGCTGCTTCACTGGACTGGACTGCTGCGCGACGCATCAAGCCCAGGTGATCCGCCGTGCGAACGGCACCCATTATGGCCTGGCGGCCGGCATTTTCAGGTGGGTGTGATTTTCAAGGCGACATTTTGTTCCCTGCTGCCGGTGCTGCCGGCTGTGCGCTCACAGCCTGAGCAGAGTGTGGGCGTGTCAGGCTGAAACACCCCAATCACACCTCTGACTTTCCGCCTTTTCCTGTCACAATGAATGCCGATTGTGGTGCGTATTGCCTGGCTGCAGCTCCAATCTGAACACAGTCAACAAGCTGACACGGGCGCTGAGGGCGGGCATGGTGTGGGTCAACTGCTACAGCGTTGGGGACAGGTGGGGGCGGTGAATTGTTAGTGTAGATAGGTTCACGGCCGGCTATGCCACCCCTTGTTGCCGTTTTTGGGCGCGGTTTCTGCACCGCACAATTGAGACCGTGCCAAGGTGGTCCCGCAAAACCACCAACCCAGCACCATCGCAGCTCCTCCGTCACTCACCTGCCCTTGCGCCCCAACACCCTACCTAACAAGTTCCATCCCCATCGGCGGCTACAAGGACAGCGGCATGGGGCGTGAGAAGGGGGAGGACGCCCTGCAGCACTACACGCAGGTCAAGGCCGTGGTGCAGCCGCTGAGGGGCGCGGCTTGGTGCTGAGGCCCTCGGCTGCCCCGAACCAGCCCTTTGGGCTGCAGCAGTTTCGTCATAGTGACGCCTGATGCGCGGTGCACAAGGCCGCCCCGGCCCAGCAGCCCACTTGTTCCCAGCGGATTGATGCAAACTTGAAACGGCTCTATCGACGTGTAATCATCGCAGTTGTAAACACGCCAGCTTGCGCGATGATCCGGGTCACCCATTACGGAATAGCGAACAGAAAGGCGCCCCTGCGCGTCCATACAGCCAGAAACACCCGCGGTCGTGTTGTCAGGTATAAGACAGAGGAAGGCGAACGGTGAGGAATGGAGGGGTGGCACTGCTGACCGGACTGCGACCGTCCGCTCCAGGCGCGGCGCGCGCACGTGCGCGGGCCGCAGCCCACCGCCAACAGACGCACTGTGGGTTCATGTCATGTGTTGTCAGGACTGCGCCCTCCAAGATCGACTACGAGTCCCTGGCCTTTGAGGCCCTCCAAGATGTGCCCCGCAAGGTACGGCGCTGTGCCCCGCCAACGTGATCCCACTCAAATCCAACCCACCCCGATCCCACCCAAATTCAAGGTGCATCACCTCGTCTCGGCTGGCCTCCCCAATGCAACCGAATGCGCTCATGGGGAGCCGGTTCCGCGCTCCCCGCCCCCGGCAGTCTCCCACAAAACCACGGTTGAGGCCTGCATCCCAGCACTCTGCTCGGCAGGCTCAAGCTCTTGACCTACCTGTCCCCTAAGCATCTCCCCCAGCCCGCAATTCACACCACTCGGCCACGCACGTTGTTTTGCCTGGCACAACCCACGGCAGCTGCTTATCGGCGGCAAATGGACGGACGCCGCCGACCGCCGCTCCATCGCCGTGTTCGATCCCCGGACCGAGGCCCATCTTATACACGTGGCCGCGGCGGGCGAGGCGGACGTCGATGCCGCAGTGGCGGCGGCCAGGCGTGCCTTTGATGAGGGCCCCTGGCCCAGGATGAGTGCCAAGGCGAGCGCTGGTGGGACGGTATGCGTGCGCAGGGGCCAAGGCCCGGCGCCTGGCCGCACGTCCTGTGAGCCAGGTGGTCAAGCTGCTGCATCCACCGCTGCCGCGGCCGCGCCAGCAGGGCGGCGGCAGGACGATCGAGCAGCAGCCGGGCGCAGACCGCTCTCTGCACGCTTCGCCTGCGGCAGGCCGTGATGCCATATGCACCTGCCTGCTGGCTGGTGCCGACAAAAGCTCTGTATTGACCACGGCAGGCGGCCTCGCAGCCAACCATGACATGTGCGCCCGCCCCTTGACCACGCCCCGCCCGTTCCCGGCCACCCAATCGACCCGCCATCAGGAGCGGGGCCGCGTGCTGTACCGCCTTGCTGACCTCATCGAGCAGCACGCCGATGAGCTGGCAGCCCTAGAGACTCTGGTGAGGCGGGCGAGCGCCGAGCAGCCATTCCTTGCCGCCACCACCAGCTGCTGCCCCGCGCGTTGCTAGGGCCGTTGGCGTGCGCCGGGCCGTCTGCCGGCTCAAGTTGCGCTTTAGGGTTGTCATCCGGCGCCTACTTGTTTGCAATATGCCAGCTACCTTTTTCAGCAGGGGTTCTCTGATACCGGTACCTGTTTCAAGATTCCTGATCCCTGTACCCTGTGCCCTGTATGCTTTGTTGTTTGGCTCAGCTGGCTCATACACATGCCTTCACCACGCACACGCACCCCGCGCCCCCACAGGACGTGGGCATGCCCATCACCTTTAGCCAGGGGCTGGAAGTGCCACAAACAGTTGACATTTTCAGATACTACGCCGGGTGAGGCGGATTTGTCGGTACTGCAGCTCAGCGGCACGTGGCTGCTGCACGCGAGCTGCCACGCTTGCCTCTGTCCTGCGGCGCGCTAACCAGCAGGCCAGCAGCCGCACAGTCCGCGCACGCCAGCGACCCACAAAGCACACATTTCAACGAGCAGGGCTTGAATACTCTGATCTAATCAGTCGATGCTGATGCTGCTTCCACTCAATTAGGCACCAACTGATTTCAGAGAGCCGTGCGTTCCTGCCACCACCATAAGGCCTGCTGATCTTCCCCCGATTTGGCAGGTGGGCAGACAAGATCCACGGCAAGACCATCCCCGTGGACGGGCCCTATTGGGCCTACACCCTCCGCGAGCCGCTCGGCGTCATCGGCCAGGTGCGCCACAGCCCTGTGACAACCTGGGCCCGCGACAGCTGGCACAAAGGCACCTACCTACGCAGCCGTTGTTTCGAATCGCCCGTGACGACACCAGCCGAAGGGCCTTGGCCCAACAAAAGGCCAGCAATCGCCTGCACCCAACTCCCACTTCTGTTCGTACCCTACTCCAGATCGTGCCCTGGAACTTCCCTCTGATCATGGCAGCGTGGAAGCTGGCCCCGGCCCTCGCCTGCGGCAACACCTGCGTTCTGAAGGTGCGCGTGCGCGGACAGTGGCGCGCAGCGACAGGCCCTCCCTGCCAACCAGATGACATGCGGAGAATTCTGAGCTTTGGATGATCCTGCATGTCACCTCATGTTTCTTTCTGCAAGCTAGCCAGGTGCCGGCGGTCCCGCCAAGAATTTCGCCAGTGACCCACTCCTCGCGGCCGTGCTCCAGCTGACTTGCTGAATCACCAGCCCGACCACCTCAACCAAGCAACCAGCCCTGCGTCCTGTCCACCCTCCTGCGCGCCGCCGGCGCACAACCAAACGCTCGCCGCCCAGGTGGCGGAGCAGACGCCCCTGGTGTCCCTCCGGCTGGGCCAGCTGGCGCTGGAGGCGGGGCTGCCGCCTGGGGCTGTGAACATCCTGCCCGGCATTGGGGAGGTCGCGGGGGCCGCGCTCGTGCGCCACCCTGGCATTGACAAGGTGGGGCAGGGAGGGGGGCGCCGGACGTGGGTACAGGGGTTATGATCCCTCTGCTACCCCTGAGACGCGGTGAGGGTGCAACTCGGACGACAATCGGGCTGTCGCGCAGCCCAATACGGTAGCTAACTGCTGGTGCGTTGGCTCTCTTTTGAGACGAGTAGCGCATGACACGACAGCAGCCGCGGGTGGAGGGGCGTGGCCCTCTGTGACACCAGCGCCGCCGGACTGCCGGCTGACCTGCTACCATTCATCAGGTGGTGTTCACAGGCTCGACTGAGGTGGGCCGACTGGTTGCGGAGGCCGCTGGGCGAAACCTGAAGCCCTGCACCCTGGAGCTGGGTGGGTGGTAGACCGGGCAGGCAATAAATCGAGGTTCAGCCAACCACGGCACTGCAGGGCTCTCCTGTGACGTTTGAGACAGAGGCGCAGTGCAAAATCAAATTCAAGACTGATCGAGTGGGTTTGCGCTTCTGATAGTCACCACAGCGCGATCCTTCGTTCGCCTGCAAGCGCAGCCTTGGCAGCCTAAGTCCTCCCTTACGCACCTGCTTCCACAACACGTGCACTCGCTACCCTCCGAATTGCCCACTGATGGCTCACTGAAGTCACACCCACGCACTGCAGGCGGCAAGAGCCCCTTGATCGTGGAGGCGGATGCTGACCTGGGCCTGGCGGTTTCAACCGCCCAGGACGCCGTCTTCTTCCACCAGGGCCAGGTGGGGGCGTATTATCATCTGCACGCCCCTAAATCTTAAACCGACGCCCTGAAACCAAAATGGTGTTAGAGCTGGCACAGCCCTGATGCTGAGGCCCCGAGGTTGGGGTGGGGCCCTGCCTGCTGGCTCGTGCTGCTTGCTGGCTGTGGCCTGCCCTTGAGCCCAGCCCTATCTGCTGGCGTCTGCTCTGCGGCGCGTCCTCCAAACCTGCTCACCTCTTGCAGCCGCGCTGCACAGCGGCTAGGGCGCGCGTGACCGCGTGCGCCTGACCGCACGCCCCTGCCCGCTCTACCGTGCGTAGATCTGCTGTGCGGGGAGCCGCGTGTTTGTCCACGAGGGGGTATATGATGAGTTTGTGGCCAGGTCGGCGCAAGCTGCGCAGCACAGGTGGGCCGAGCCCCAACTCAAGGTCCGGGTCAGCGGGATCTTGCACGGTGCGGGCGCACGGGCCCCGCCCGCTGTGATCGGCATGCCGCCCCTGGCGGCGCCGGTCTCCTTGCCTTGCTTTTGGTTATGACTGACGTACCTGACTCGCACTGCTTGGAGTGCCTGACACGCACGCTCACTCAAGCTCCTGGGTTACCTTGGTGACGCTTGGGCCGCCAGCTTGAGCAACTGACGCCAGTCGCCCGCATGCATCCCAACCGCCAGGCCTGTGGGCAACCCGTTTGAGGCCGAGGTGCTGCAGGGGCCGCAGGTTGACAGGGCCCAATTTGACAAGGTGGGGTCGCACAGCGCATGCAGGGGCGTGGGTGAGCCAGGAACAGCCGACCAGCCGTTTGCGAGAATATGCATTGAAATTTCCAGGACACCGCTTGCATGAAATAAACTGCTTGTTGTGCGGGTCTGTGGCTGTAAAGTGCGCTTGCTGGGCATTCCAGCATCGGCCACCCTCGCTCATACGCACAGCGCTGAACGCACGGCTGTGTTGCCCTGCCACCTGCCCGCCCACTGCTGCTGCCACCCGCAGGCAATGCGCTACATTGACCTTGGCCGCACTGAGGGCGCCCGCCTGGCCGCTGGCGGCCGCCGCGTGGGGGACGAGGTCGGCAGACGCGCACAGAGCGACCATGACGATTCAGTTCTAATTGGCTATTTTTGTAGTGTGCGGGCACACTCCCCTGTGCTACCGGCTTTGTGTTGGCTGCTGTGCAGTGGCTTGTGTCACAGCAGACTCCGCAGCCTGCCACGTATTGACACCCCCATCACCGCCGCCAATAATGCAGGGCTTCTTTGTGGAGCCCACCGTGTTCACTGGGGTGCGGGATGACATGGCTATTGCCAGGGAGGAGATCTTTGGTCCCGTGCAATCCATCATGAGGTGGGGGCAGGCCTCGGGGTGGGCGTAGGATCAAAACGAGGTGTGACTGCTGATGTGTTGCTGGCACCAGAAGGGTGCCACGGCCCCCATGCGCCTTTGGACATGATGTGTGCGTGCATGTGTGCATGCGTGCGTGCATGCGTGCGTGTGCATGTGTGCGCATGAGTGCGCGTGCACGCACTACAGGATAATCGGACCTGAGGGTAAGGGAGGGGGCGGAGTGGCGGAGCCAGCCGGGGAAGCGCCCTGTCGCAGCGCTTCTTGAGGCGCATCACGATCCAGCAGTACTGAGAACTGATCGCTCCGCCGTCCTTTCACCCCTCACACGTTAGCTACAAGAGCCTGGACGAGGTGCGGACGCATGTGTGGACACCTGCTGCATGCGCCTGCCCTTGAAATCACTGTGGGGTTGCTTACACAAGTGCGCTTGCACGCTTGCTGTGCTGCTGCTTGCGACTGGGGGCCGCCGGGAGCAGCATGCACCTGCGGCCACTGGCGCCGCGTGTGTGCCAGACACAACTCTAGCCCTACCTTTGTAGGTGATCAGGCGTGCGAACGCAACGCCCTACGGCCTGGCTGCCGGCGTTTTCAGGTGGGAGCCCCGCGCTGCTGCAAGGCCGCTCTGAGCAATGGCAACGCACCCGCTTGCAGTCTGACCAAGCAAGACTGGCAGGCGGAGGCCAGCCCGACGCCGGGTGTCAGTGTGTGCACCTGTGCATCATGCGCCTTTGCCCCTCAGTTGCCACCAGTGCAGCCAGCTAGTGCCTCAGCTTGCCGCCTTGAAGACTTGGGGTATGTCATGTCGCTAAGGCCTCCTCACAATGGGACTGATGAAACCCTTTCTTCAAATCCGACCAAGTTGTGGTTATTGCCCCCTCACACCCGCCCCCCGTCTACCCCACCCTCCGCGCCTGCAGCTCCAACCTGGACACAGTCAACACCCTGGCACGAGCCCTCAAGGCCGGCACAGTGTGCGTGGATTCCCCAAAAGACGCGGCAGCTGCACGCAGCCTTGCCTTGGGCCCAGTTCCTGCAGAACAGTGCTCAGCAGTGCTGGGATGTTTTAGGACTTGCAAGCATCCCCCGCCCGCCATGCTCTTTCTACATCAAGCTGCCTCGCTCAACCCCCCCTCCTTCAACACACACCATCATCAACACACACCATCATCAGGTGGGTCAACTGCTTCACTGTGATGGACAGCGCAGTCCCATTCGGCGGCTACAAGGACAGCGGCATGGGGCGTGAGAAGGGGGAGGACGCCCTGCAGCACTACACGCAGGTCAAGGCCGTGGTGCAGCCGCTGAAGGGCGCGGCGTGGATGTGACGGCAGGCAGGGTGTCGCACGGGCTGCACTGTAAATCGGCGTGAGGAAATAGGTTGGTCCCAATGTGTGCAGCCGCAGTTGAGAGGGCGCATCGGACTAGTCCGCTTTGTCCCCCTGTCTCACGCCCACGCGTCATGACACTGCCTGGCATTTTGCACAGAAGCGGTGGCGGTTTGTGTGACTGTTACGACAGCTTTTCTGTTTGCATCATGTCGTTGGCAGCAGTGACGTTGAGAGCTCTAATCACCTTGACATGTAATAAAACACTGACCACTCCCCAGAACCCGCGCAGCATGCCGATAGTTTTGTGCCCAGCTCATTCAGGTGCAGCTCATCAGGTGTGTGTGCGTGTGCAATGTGCAGGATTTTTAAATATCAACAGGGTAGGAGTCAAGTGTTCCTGCTGCCTCCCTGTTCAGCGCTTAACCCCTATCGCCCTGAGTTGGCTGGGCGACCAGCTGGGGACAGCCTTGACCAACTTGAGAGGTGTACCACGCACCACAGGACACTGCAAATTGGCTATTACAGCATGGACAAGAGTATCCAGGTCGTCACAGCAGCATGTGGCCCCGTCCGTAAGCAGGTTGCACAGCTCATCTGCTGCACTGCCATGACATGTTGAAGTCATCAGCTGTGTGAAGACAACGATTGGGGAAGTCAGACATGCCTTGGATGATCAGCCCCTGCTCTGCCTGCTCGTTGAGCAGCCAAGCAAAGCCAGGGGCGTCAGCTGCTGATGGCACGGAGTGCAGCCACAGGTTGCGAAGGGGCGCCTTCACACGCGATACAAATATACACAGCTGCTCTGCAGTCCAATCTGTGCTGTCAAGTCGCAGGCGTGTCACGCCCCGCAGGCCCTTGGCAAAGTTGACCAGGCTCGGCATGTCCTTGCGCCCCCCTGGGACATCGAGAACCAGCCTCTTCAGCTTGGGCATGCAGGCAAGTGCGGATCCCACAACCCCCATATCGACGCGTCCGCTCTTTCTGCCAAAGCCCCAATTCACGTCGAGGTCGCCATGCAGAGAGATCTCACAAGATAAAGCCAGTGTCAGGTGGAGAGACTCGAGGCCAGTGAGTAAGGCTAGCCGAGCCAAATCCTCAACCACCGCGTCGCACTTGAGCTCTGCCAGGCGGGGCGCGGCCGCAAGAGCCTGCCACTCGCAAAGCGACGGGGGCAGCAGGGATTCCAGTGTTTCTGTAGCGCCGTAGGCAAGGTGCGACAGGCGTGTGAGGCCGGACAGCATCGCAGTAGGACTCTCAAGCAGCACAGTGTCGTCATCATGATACATCACCTCCAAACACTCCACATTGGGGACCAGCGACTGCATGCACATCCGGCGGAAACCACTAGGACAGTATGAGAACATTGCGCGGAGGACCTTTGGGAACGCCGCGGGGGCGTGCGTCCCCCAGTCGCCCGACGGCTGCGCTACCAGCAGCGTGAGGTGCGGCAGGCCTAGGGCGAGCCGCTCAGCCCAGCCCTTGGCGGGCAGGTCGATGCCCCTGAGCTCGCGCAGGTGCGGCCAAGGCAGCCCCAGATCACAGCCCAGCGCCGGGCAACACTGCCACCCGCCAAAATCCAGCGAGGTCAGACGAGAGCACGGCAGTGTGGCAAGCAGGGGAGCGTCATCAGAAGAATCCATCCTGAGTGAGCGCAGGCATGGCAGGCTGCCGAGCGCGCATGCACAGTCTTCATTGAAGTCCGACCAAGTGATCAGCTCAAGGCTCTTGATGTGCGGCACCATTGCCGGCAGGGTGGCCAGCATGGTGAGCACCTCCTCGGTGCTATGTGTGTGCATGTTGACCCGCAGCGAGGTGATGCCAGGCACGTGCTTCAGCACCGAATTGATGTCAGTTAGACCCCCAATCTCCCAAGCGCGGCCGTCCAGCTCCCCGAGCGCGGCCAGCACGGCACAGGCCGCTTCGTGGCGCGGGCCGGGGCGCTCAGCGAGGGCGAAGCACTCGCGCAGCTGGTCAGGTGCATGCTGAGACGGCGTGCCCTGGAGCTGCAGGCACGCCAGCAGTGGGAACCTGGAGAAGTCGGGGGCGCCATGCCAGGACTCGATGTCGTTGGGCCTGAGTTTCAAGGCTGAGAAGCGGCCGGTCTCCAGCCGCGAGGCACGGTCAAACAGCCTGGCCGCCTGCCGGGCCTCACGCAGGTCCTGCAGCAGCACCAGTGAGGGGGCGGTGTGGTGAGAGAGTTGGGTGACAGAAAGCAACGCAATTGGCCAGGCAGGATCAAAGGTTAGGTTTGAGCTGCGCTGCAAAGCGCTGCGACACGCCCAGGAGCGTGCCGCACCTTTGGCTCGAGCCACTGCAGCACCTGGCCAACCAGCTGCTGGTGGTCGAGGGACTCAATCGACGCCATCACTCCTGCAGCATGAATGGGTGGTGTTCAGGGGTCATACATGAGGAGGCCGCAGCCAAGCGGAGCGGTGAGCAGAGCGCGCTGCTGGCTGTGCTGCAGCGCGAGCAGAGCGCCTTCAGTGAACCGACAGTGGGTCATCCACCCACCAGGCCAGCTCTGGAGAAACACTGCGCAAGATCCGACAGCGAGCCCAGATCTGACACGAATTGGATGTTTGGATCACCACGGCAGTAGATCAGTAGACCAAGCTGGCCTTGTCGCCATGCACGCGGGCTTTGAACTGAACTCAACTCGAATCTTGGAGCATACCGATACTGCTTTCTACAAACAACCCTATCCACAGCTGATGAGCAGCCGCACCGTCCTCCGGGTTCGCACATCACTTCAAAGTTCAAACATGCGCCGTGGGCGAGATCAGCCCATCTGCGTGATTGAGGACATAACATGGCAGCATCAGGAGCCCCAATGCGATCGCGGTAGCGCAGCAACAGCAAGCAGGTCTCCCGACGTACCTCCTGCCAACACAGGGAGCGCCAGCGCCGAGCGAAATCAAACGCTGCATCTGCATCGGCGTCACGACATGACGAGGAACCTGCTCTTGACCTGCACGATGCAACGTTCGATCAGCAGAGCGATCAAAAGCCTGCGTGCCAGGGGACGAGGCAAGAGCAGGAACAGCAGCCGCCATAGGCACGCAGCCAGTTGGCGCAGGGTGCAGCATGAGCAACGACGCGTGTGTTAATGCGGCCTCAGCCTCGACAGGGCTGAGCTATACCAGGCCGCGGGCGGCTACAGCATCAGGTTCTAGCAGTGAAGCCAGCAGCGTGAAGGTCGCGGGCCCGATGCAGCAGCTGATTGCAGATGCTTCGACTGTCTTTCAAGACTGGCCGCCCTTGACGCGACATCGGCTGCATGTGGAGGGGCGTCCCTTCTGTCGCACCAGCGCCGCCGGACTGACGTCTTGTGCCCATCCGTCAGGTGGTGCACGCGGTCTTGACTAAGGTGCGGCGGCTGGTTGCGGAGGCGGGTGGGCGGTACCCCGAGCCCTTCACCCTTGAGCTGGGTGGGCGGCGGGCCGGTGCAATGAAATGAGGCTCTGCCAATGTTTATACTGCGGTTCTCTCCTCTATGATACTTGAGAGCGTGCTGTGGTGCATAAGAAATACCAAATCTCGTCCGGATGTTTTGCCCTCTTCCTTCTGATTATCTTAGTATCACAACGGATGCACACAGAGCAACTGCCTGCCTGCCAGCACACCCTTGCTCCTACCTCATTCGCACTCTCTGCCCCTTGGAGAACAACCCTCTGAAAGCTGAACGTCGCACCCCGTGCGCTCTACAGGCAGCAAGAACCCCCTGATTGTGGAACCAGACTCTGACCTGGACCTGGCGTTTCAACCGCCCAGCAGCCAGGACGTGATCTTCTTCCACCAGGGCCAGGTGGGAGCGCCTGATGATCCGCATGCGCTAGACCTTCAACTAGAATGTGAGCTGGCGAAGCACCGCTGAGGCCCTGCTGTTGGGGTGTGGCGCTGCCTGCTGGGTTGAGCTGCTTGCTGGCTGCCACCTGCCCTTGGCTTAGCCCCAACTGCTTGACGCCGTCTTCCCTGCGGTGTGCTTGTGGGACGCGCGCAGCGCTTGATCAAGCCACGCGATGTGCGCTTTTGACGCCAGCGGCTGGTGCGCGTGTGACCGTGTGCGCCTAACTGCACGCCCCTACCCGCTCCACCGTGTCCAGGTCTGCTGCGCGGGGAGCCGTGTGTTTGTCCACGAGGCGGTGTATGATGTGTTTGTGGCCAGGTCAACACGCGCAGCGCAGGACAGGTGGGTCGAGCCTCAAGTCACGTTCTGTGTGCACGTTTGATGGCCCCCTCGCGCTGCGATCAGCATGCCCCCCCAGGCAGCGCTGGTCTCCCTGCCTAATTTGCACTGCTTGGGGTGCCTGATCTGCACACTCTTCAACAGGACTGCGTCACCTTCGTGACGCTTGGGCTGACGGCTTGAGCAACCGCCACGAACCGCCCGCACGTGTTCCCAACCGCCAGGCCTGTGGGCAACCCCTTTGAGGCCGAGGTGCTGCAGGGGCCGCAGGTTGACAGCGCCGAGTTCAACAAGGTGGGGCCGCACCGCGTGTGCAGGCATGGGCAACCAGGAGAAGCCCACCAGCCGCTTGCCGAAACTTGCCCTGAATTTGTTAAGACACGCTCGCACACACCCACTTGCTCAGGGTGCGGGTCCGTAGCTATGAACTGCGCTTGCTGGGCTGTTGGGCATCAACCACAACTCACACGGACACACCCAACGTGCGGCTACGCTGTTTCGCCGCCCACCCGCTGCTTCCACCCGCAGGCGATGCGCCACATCAACCTTGGACGCACAGAGGGCGCCCGCCTGGCCGCCGGCGGCCGCCGCGTCCGGGACAAGGTCGGCAGATGCGTGCGCAGCTGCCCTGCTGCTGCAGATTGGCTACTTTTCCTGATGCGCATGTGCACTGTTCTCTGCTGGCGGCTTTGTGCAGGCTGCTAGGCAGTGGCCTGTGTCACGGCAAATGACCCAGCCTGCCACTTGTTGGCACCCCCATCACCGCCGCCAATGATGCAGGGCTTCTTTGTGGAGCCGACCGTGTTCACTGGGGGGCGGGATGACATGACCATCGCCAGGGATGAGACCTTTGGCCCAGTGCAGTCCATCATGAGGTGGGGGCAGGCCTGAGGTCCATGGGCAGGGCGAGAGTCAGGTGAAAACGAGGGGTGACTGCTGCTGTGTTGCCGGCGCTGGAAGGGTGCTGCCACAATGCACTTGCCTCTTTGACACTCTGTGCGCGTGCAAGCACGCATGCGCGCGGACAGGCGAGCGTGCGAGGGCACGAGCACGCGCACGTGTGTGCGTGCGTGCGAGTGCGCGTGCATGCGCGTGTGGCGCGCGCGTGCATGTGTGTGTGTCCGTGTGTGTGTGAGTGCGTGTGCGTGTGCTCGTGCGCGTGTGTGTGTGTGTGTGCTTGCGGGCGTGCTTGCGTGCATGCATGCATGCATGCATGCATGCATGCGTGTGTACATGTATGCACGCCTGCAGACGGAAAGGACATAAGGGGGAGGGAGGGACGGGAGAGGTGTGGCGCCCCGTCCTGACAAGTTTGAGGTGCATCATAATCCAACAGTGCTGAGAACAATTATTGCTCTGCTTCCCTTCCTTTTGCCCCTCACACTTCAGCTACAAGAGCCTGGACGAGGTGCGGAAGCTGGTGTGGATACGTGTTGCATGTGCCTGCCCTTGGGCAGACTGCAGTTTGCTTGCATGCACTTGCATGCCTGGCTGGGGTGCCTGCGCACGAGGGGCGCCGGGAACTACATACACCCGGGGCAACTGGCGTCGCGTGCGTGCCAGACATGCGCCTGCGGCCCCCCTTGCAGGTGATCAAGCGCGCCAACGCAACGCCCTCAGGCCTGGCGGCCGGCGTCTTCAGGTGGGAATCAGAGTTGGGACCTCTGCGCGGTTCCGAGGCCGCCCTGAGCCGTGGCATTGTGCTAGCTCGCAGTGTGATCAAGCAAGACTTGCAGGCTGGGGTCAGCCAGCCCCATGCTGGGTGAGCATCCGTGCATGGCGCACCTCCGTCCCTCGATCTTCGCCGGAGCAGCCAGCAAGCACATTGGGTTGCCGCCTTGCGCAGTTGAGGTCGACCGAGTCCCAACAGGCCCCCACCTCAGGAAGATTGTGCAATCCTTTTGTCATTCCAGCTGAGTTGTGGCAACTCCTCCCCCCCCCCCCCCCCCCCCCCCGCAGCTCCAACCTGGACACGGTCAACACCCTGGCGCGCGCCCTCAAGGGCGGCACAGTGTGCGTGAACTCCCCACAGGCGCGGCAGCTGCAAGCAGCTTTGCTTTGGGTCCAATCTCAGCAGAAACATCTGTAGCAGCGTTGCGAGCGGCAGGACTTGCAAGGAACCCCCACCCGTCATATTCTGTCCACATTCAGCGCCAGCTGCCTAACTCACCCTTCTTCCCACACACACACACACACTATCATTAGGTGAGTCAACTGCTTCACTGTGATGGACAGCGCCGTCCCCATCAGGAGCTACAAGGACAGCGGCATGGGGCGTGAGAAGGGGGAGGACGCCCTGCAGCACTACACGCAGGTCAAGGCCGTGGTGCAGCAGCTGAGGGGCGCGGCGGGGATATGACAGCAGGCAAGGCGTGGCATGGGCTGCCCTGCAGTCGGCACAAGCAGATGCGTTGGTCCCGGTAGTTTTGTATCTGCAGTTGGGAGAGCGCATCGGGCTGCCTGCCTTTGCCCCGCTGCGTCGCGCCCGCGCCTCAAGGCACTGCATGGCATTTTGCAGAGGGATGGCTGTTGTGAGCGTCATGGCTGGTGTGGCTGTGAAATTAGCCAATTCACATCCATGATTGGGCAAGGACATTGCAGGCAGCTGTGCCGACAGCGCAGATGGTGTTGCCGAACAACATTTCACTGACCACTCCCCTCGACACAGGGTGGGGGAACCGCATGCAGGGACCAGCTGGCTGGGATGGGATGGCAGCAAAGGACACGATGTGACAATTTGAATAACGTGCAGGGCCCCTGTGGTGCGCGACATGCACACCGTCGCAGCTGCTGTGACCACAGCCTTGGCGTGACCAACACAAGAGGTGCTTCGCAAGCCCTGGACACCCGCAAACCGACTGGCTGTTACAGCAGTGGACAAGAGTATACGTAAGCGTCGTCTCAGCGGCACTTGGCCCCGTCCACAAGCGGGTTGCAATGCTCAACTGTACTGCCAAAACATGCTGAAGTCGTTAGCTGGGTGATATCGCCAATCTCCCTCACCCATGCCTGTGATGACCAACCCCCGCTCTGCCTGCTCATTGAGCAGCCCAGCAAAGTCGGGGGCATCAGCTAATGGCATGGACGGCAGCCACAGGGTGCGAAGGGGCGCCTTAACGCGTGATACAAACATGAGCAGCTGCTCTGCAGTCCACTTTACGCCTACGAGTTGCAGGCATGTCACGCCTCGCAGGCCATCGGCAAATTTGACCAGGCTCGCATTGTCCGTGCGGCCCCCTGGGACAACCAGAACCAGCCTCTTCAGCTTGGGCATGCAGCTGAGTGCAGACCCCACATCCCCCAAATTAATGCTCTCCTCGTCATGATCGATCCGACCCGCATTGAAGGCATGATGAAGGACAAGATCCAGTCTCAGGTGTAGAGACTCGAGGCCAGTGAGTGAGGCTAGCCGGCCCAGGTTCTTGACCGCCGCGTCGGACTTGAGCTCTGCCAGGCGGGGCGCGGCCGCGAGAGCCTCCCACTCGCACAGCGGCAGGGGCGGGGCCCGAAATGAAGAGCTATAGGCGAGGTGCGACAGGCGCGTGAGGCCGGACAGCGTCGCGGGACCCTCGACCAGGGAAGGGTCACCAAACACGACCTCCAAAAACTCCACAGCGGGGACCAGCGACCGCAGGCGCAGGCGGCGGAAACCCCTGGGACAGGAAAAAAACACCGCGCGGCCGACGTTTGGGAACGCCGCGGGGGCATGTATTCCCCAGTCGCCCGACGGCTGCGCTACCAGTAGCGTCAGGTGGGGGAGGCCCAGGGCGAGACGCTCCGCCCAGCCCCCGGCGGGCAGGTCGATGTCCCTGAGCTCGCGCAGGTTTGGCCAAGGCAGCCCCAGATCACAGCCAAGCGGCGGCCAACACTGGCTCTCCGACCCGGCAAACCCCAGCAATGTCAAGCGGGAGCACGACAGCGTGGCGAGATGGTGCGCTTGATCAAAAGGGCTTATCATGAGCGAGCGCAGGCATGGCAGGCTGCCAATCATACGTGCACAGTGCTCGTCAACAACTGACCAAGGGCACACGTCGAGGCGCTCGATGCGCGGCACCATTGCCGGCAGGGTGGCCAGCCCTGTCAGCGCCTCGTTGGTGCTGGTTCTGTAGAAGGTCAGCCGCAGCGAGGTGATGCCAGGCATGTGTCTCAACACCGAAGTAAGGTCAACGGGACCCCCGAAACCCCTACCATGGCAGTCCAGCTTCCCGAGCGCGGCCAGCACTGCGCAGGCCGCTTCGCGGCGCGGGCTGGGCCGCTCAGCGACAGCGAAGCACTTGCGCAGCTGGTCGCGTGCACGTTGAGAAAGCGCATCCTTCAAATGCAGGCACGCCAGCAGCGGGAACCTGGAGAAGTCGGGGGCGTCACGCCAGGACAGGATGCTGTCTGGCCTCAGCTTCAAGACAGAGAAGCTGTCGGTCTCCAGCCGCGAGGTGCGGTCAAACAGCCTGGCCGCCTGGCGGGCGTTGCACAGGTCCTGCAGCAGCACCAGTAAGGCAGCAGCGTGAGCCAGTCGGGTGGAAGAAGGCAACACATCCGACCAGGCAGGAGCAAAGGTTAGATTTGGGCTGCGCTGCGACGCGCCCAGGGACTGTGCCGCACCTTTGGCTCGAGCCACTGCAGCACCCGGCCAACCAGCTGCTGCTGGTCGAGGGAATCGATTGACGCCATCTGCCCTGCGGCACGAATGGGGGTTGTTCAGCAGTCGGGCGTGCTCGACCGCAGCCCAGCAGGGCTGTGCCGCAGCACGTGCAATGCAGTGCGTCTGCCGCGCGCCTAGAGTGGGGTGTACACCCACCAGGCCAGCTTCAAAGAACGGCTGCGGGCAAATTGACAGTGAGCCCAGATGTGACACGGCTTGGATCACCACGGGTGCGGACCAAGCGGGCCTTGTCATCAAGGTGCACACGCGCTCTGAATTGAACTCAATTCGCCTCTTGACACATTCCGATACCAAATTTATATGATAATATTTTAAAAAAATTCCACAGCTGGTGAGCAGCGGCACCGTCCTCCGAGTTCGCATCATACGCTAAATACCGTGTGTAATGTAATAGTACATGCGTAGCATTCGCCGTGGGCGCGATCAACCCGCTTGCACGTTGAGGAGAGCCGGTTGAACAGCGCCAGGACGATCGCTGCGGCGCAGCAGCAGGTCTGGGGACGAACCTGAAACCCCCCACCAATGTAGCGAGCAGCGCGCGATACGCTGCATCCGCATCAAGAAATCAGGGGGGCCTACATCATTGTTGAATTGCATGATGTGGCGATTGATCAGCAGAACGATAGGGCCTGCATACCAAAGCGAGAGACAAGGGCAGGAGCGGGTACAGCAGCCCCCTCCGCCCCTTGGGCACGCAGCCAGCGAGCGGCAGGGCACTGCAGCAGCAGCAGCAGGAGCAGCAGCAGGAGCGGCAGCCACAGAAGCAGCCACCCGGGCGGCAGCAGTAGCAGCAGCAGCAGCTGCAGCAGCCATGGGCGCCAGCTGCGAGGAGGAGCGGCAGCAGCTGGATGCTGCCGAGGCGCTGAAGCGCGATGGCAATGATCTCCTGTTTATACGACCACAATCGCGAATTACCAGGGGCCGAGCCCCGTTACATGCGCTCCCCAAACAGACAGTCGCACTGCATGCTGCGTTGCATGCGTCGCACGCGGGAGCGCGACCCGCAGCCGCCCCATGCCACGTCAGGACCGCACGAGGGGAAGGGGGGGCCTGGCGCCCGAGTCGCTGCCACCCGGCGACGCAAGGGCAACGGCGTTGCCATGAAGTCCAGGGGCATCACGGCGCCCTGCGACGCTGAGGGCGACCTGCGCCATCGTCGGCCCCGCCCGCCGCACGCCCTTCGAGGCTCTCGGCACCGCCTCGGAGCCAGCGGCCCAGCGCTCAGTTCACTACGCCAACATGGCGCCCTGCTGGCTCAATCTCGACCAGCCGCAGCTGGCGGAGGAGCACTGCCCATTTTGTGCCGTCACGACGCTGGGCCCCCTTTACCCCTAGCCTGCCCCACCTCCCTCGCAACACGCCACCCGTCTGCCCATCCCCTCCTCGCTTCCCTCCCGCCAGCTACATCAAGGCGCCGATGCGGCGCGCCATGGCCTTTGAGCAGCTGGACGACGTTGACCACGCCCTGCAGGCTGACCTGGAGCAGGTGGGCGCGATCTGGGCGGCGGCTACGGAGGGCCTGGCAGACCTCGGATTCCCAGCAAACCTTGGGGGCCTGTCTTGACCAACAGGCGCATTGCTTGAGGCCGTAAGCGTTGGTGCCGCTTGCTCAAACGTTCAAACCTAAGTTGACCTAGGTTTGAAGAGAACTGGCGCTGCTGTATCCAGCCCGACATGCTGTGCGACTTTTGCTGCCGATCCCGGAACCCCACCCGAAACACCCCCGTCGCCGCCGCGGCGCGCCTGCAGCCCATCCTGGCGGAGCGCCAGGAGAAGCTCAAGGACGAGATGCTGGGCAAGCTCAAGGACCTGGGCAACACCATCCTCGGGAAGTTCGGCCTCAACCTGGACAACTTCAAGGCGGAGCGGGACGTAGCCACGGGCGGCTATAGCAGCACGCTCTCGCAGTGAAGGTGGCGGCGTGAGGTTCGCGAGCCTGATGCAGTAGCTGATTGCAGATGCTTTATCTGTCTCTCACCCTCCGCCCGCCATGTTTTGTCACATCCAGCTGCCTCGCTCACGGAAACGTCCCCCCCTCACACACCATCATCAGATGGGCCAACTGCTTCACTGTGATGGACAGCGCCGTCCCATTCGGCGGCTGCAAGGACAGCGGCATGGGGCGTGAGAAGGGGGAGGACGCCCTGCAGCACTACACGCAGGTCAAGGCCGTGGTGCAGCCGCTGAGGGGCGGGGCGTGGATATGACAGCAGGCAAGGGGTGACACAGGCTGTTGTGAAATTGGTGCATGCAAGCCGAAGCGTTGGTAGGTCCCAATGTTTGCAGCTGTAGATGGGAGGGCGTATCAAAGTGCCTGCCTTTGCCCTATTGCGTCCGCACTTCAATCCGAAACACATAGACCGGCCTTTTGATGACGGGTGGCTGTTGTGAGCGGCGGCGGTTTGTGTAATTGTGACATCAGCTCTGTCACGTGCATCATGTAGGCACATACGTTACTGGCAGCTGCGCCTTTCGCCTATGGTAATTACCTGGCCAGGTTGACAATCACCGACCACTCCCCACAACCCGTGCGGCATGCAGGGATTGTGCCCAGCCCAGCATGTTGGTGCAGCTCATCAGCCGTGTGTGCATGCCTCATTTTCACGACTGGTCAAACTGAAAAGAATATCATGTAAGGCTTCCTGCCTGACTGTTTAAACCCAACACCCTCTTTGCCGGCTGGGCGACCAGTTGGGGTTGCAGTCAGCGCGTGAGGCCATAAATTGACACCCAGACAACTGCGCAGGGCCTTGCAGCTGCTTTAAAGACAGCCTTGACCAACACAAGATATGTATTACGCGCCGCAGCCCGCTCGCAAATCGGCTCTTTACAGCAGTGGACACGGGGAAGAGAATCGCCACAGCAGCAGTTGCCCGCGTCCACACGCCAGTTGCACAGCTCATGAACTGTACGCGTATGTGCACTGCCATGATGTGCTGAAGTCATTGGGCGGGGGAAAATATTGCTCATTGACCGTAATGCTTTGGATGCTCAACCCCTTCCCTGCCTGCTCGTTGAGCAGCCAAGCAAAGTCAGGGGCGTCAGCTGCTGGTGGCACAGACTGCAGCCACAGGGTGCGGAGGGGCGCCTTCAAGCGCGACACGAATATGCACAGCTGCTCTGCAGTCCATTCTGTGCGGCTGAGTTGCAGACATGTCACGCCCCGCAGGCCCTCGGCAAAGTTGACCAGGCTCGCAACGTCCTTGCGGCCCCCAGGGACATCCAGAACCAGCCTCTTCAGCTTGGGCATGGAGGCGAGTGCAGGTGTCACAACCCCCAAATCGACGCCTGCGCTCTCTTTGCCATCGCCCCAGTCCACTTCTGGGTCGCCACGAACAGGGAAATCATGAGATAAGGCCAACTTCACCTGGAGGGACTCGAGCCCAGTGACTTTGGCCAGCCGGGCCAGATCCTCAACCACCGCGTCGCACGCAAGCTCCGCCAGGCGGGGCGCAGCCGCAAGGGCCTCCCATTCGTGAAGCGACAGGGGCGTGAAATCTGAAGCAGCTGGAATGAAATTCAAAGCAGCAGCGCCGAAGACAAGGTGCGACAGGCGGGTGAGGCCGGAGAGTGTCGCGGTGCGACTCTGGACCCGCAACGCGTCGTCATTAAAGGTCAACACCAATTCTTCCACAACAGGGACCAGCGACCGCAGGCACAGGCGGCGGAAGCCCCTGGGACAGGATGTGAACATTGCGCGGACCACTTTTGGGAACGCCGCGGGGGCGTGCGTCCCCCAGTCACCCACCGGCTCTGCTACCAGCAGCGTGAGGTGGGGCAGGCCCAGGGCGAGACGCTCCGCCCAGCCCCCGGCGGGCAGGTAGACGCCCCGGAGCTCGTACAGGTGCGGCCAAGGCAGCCCCAGATCACAGCCTAGTGGCGGCCAACACTGGCACTCTAACCCGGCAAACTCCAGCGACGTCAGGCGAGCGCACGGCAACGTGGCGAGATGGTGCGCTTCATCAAAAGGGCTTATCAAGAGCGAGCGCAGGCATGGCAGGCTGCCAATGACGCGTGCACAGTGCTCATCACAGTCTGGGTACATGCGGATCTTGAGGGTGTTGATGCGCGGCACCATTGCCGGCAGGGTGGCCAGCGCGGCGAGTGCGTCCTCAATGTCAGTCTGGCTGTCTGTGCCGAGGTTCAGTTGCAGCGTGGTAATGCCAGGCACATGCCTCAACACCGAAGCAAGGTCGCTCGGACCGCCGAAGTCGCAATCGTAAGCGTCCAACTCCCCGAGCGCGGCCAGCACTGCGCATGCCGCTTCTCGGCGTGGGCCGGGCTGCTCCGCGACCGCAAAGCACTTGCGCAGCCGGCTGTGAAAACCCGAACCCGGCAGGTCATCCAGCTTCAGGCGCGCGAGCAGTGGGAACCTGGAGAAGTCGGGGGCGCCTCGCCAGGACTTGATGTTGCCGGGCAGCGTCAAGACTGAGGTGTTCATCTCCAGCCGCGAGGCGCGGTCAAACAGCCTGGCCGCCTGCCGGGCGTTGCGCAGGTCCTGCAGCAGCATCAATGAGGCAGCAGCGTGAGAAATTTGGGTCGAAGAAGGCAACACATTTGGCCAGGCAGGATGGAACGTTGGATTTGGGAAGGGCTGCGCCTCACAGCGCTGCACTGCATTGCGCAGCGCCGACGACTGTGCCGCACCTTTGGCTCGAGCCACTGCAGCACCCGGCCAACAAGCTGCTGCTGCTCGAGGCATTCGATTGACACCATCTCTTCTGCAGCGTGAATGGGGGTTGTTCAGCGGTGAGATTCACTGTGCCTGGAGAAGCTGCGGCCGGGCAATGAAGCGGCATGCTGCTGCAGTGCGGCGCGTGCAGTGCGCCTGCCATGAGCCTAACGTGGGTTATCCGCCCACCTGGCCAGCTTCGAAGGACGGCGGCCGACGACGAGCGAGGGCAGATCTAACACGGATCACCGCCAGATCACGACGGTGCGTAGACAGGTGTGTAGACCAACGGGCCCTGTCAAGCGCAGCGCAGCATACGGCGGTAAAGTGAAGTAATAGAAAATACACAAAACCGTTTATCACGCAGCGGCACCGTCCTCCCAGTTCATATACCACTCTTTCAACCATGCGCCGTGGGCGAGATCAGCCGACCTGCGTGATCGAGGACATTACAGAGCAGCAGGAAGAGCCCCAATACGTGTGCGGTGGCGCAGCAGCAGCAAGCAGGTCAGGAGACGGGTCTCCCGCCAACGCAGCAAGCAGCGAGCGAGGAGCTGAGTCGGCGTCACGACACCAGGAGGAGACTGTAGTTGAGCTGCACGATGCGGTGGTTGAACAGCAGAACGATCAAGAGTCTGAGGGCCACAGCGAGAGGCAAGAGCAAGAGCAGGAACAGCAGCTGCCCTCGGGCACGCATTCAGTGACCAGCAGGTCACAGCAGCAGGAGCAGCAACAGGAGCAGCAGCCGGAGCAGGAGCAGCAGCAGGAGCAGCAGCAGGAGCAGGAGCAGCAGCCAGACAAGCAGCCACAAGGGCCAGAGCAGCAGCAGCAGCTCCAGCAGCCGTGGGCACCCAGCTGCGAAGAGGAGCGACGGCAGCTGGATCTCGCCGAGGCGCTGAAGCGCGAGGGCAATGACCTGTTCGGGCAGCAGCGGTACGACGAGGCGTTGGCAAAATACCAGGAGGTGAACCCCTATCACGCATGCTCTGCAAACAGCCATTTACACAGCACGCTGCATCGCGTGCGCCGCACGCGGGAGCACCACCCGCAGCCGCCCCGTGCCACGCCGGGCTACCCTGGCGCGGGCGGACCGGCGCCGGCAGGCGGCGCAAGGGCGACGATGTTATTACGACGCCCGGGGAAACCAATCTCTGCTGTCAGGCTGAGGGCAACCTGCGCTCATGCTGGCCCCACCACCTGCTGCATGCTCTCACTCAGGCACTCGACGCCGCCCCGGAGCAAGCGCCCCAGCGCTCCGTATACTATGCCAACATGGCGGCCTGCTGCCTCAAGCTCGACCAGCCGCAGCTGGCGGCGGAGCACTGCTCCTGCGCGCTGCGCATTGACGGCGGGTGGGCGCGCGTGGGGCGCGACGGGGCGCGGCAGAGGGCGGCGGAAGGGTGGTCAGGGCAGGGACTGCCAGCGGCGGTCGCGGGCGCTTGGGGGCCTGCTGCGGGTGCAGCAGGTCCCGACGCTGATGCCTGAGCTTTGTCTACTGCATATGTACGGATGAGGGGCTGCTGTCCTGAATTCCTGCCGGCATGACCCTGAACCCCTTGTCTCCTGGCCAGCTCCGCTGCACTTGCAAAACGCCACCCATCTGCCCGTCCCCTCCTCGCTTCCCCTCCCCCCAGCTACATCAAGGCGCTGATGCGGCGCTCCATGGCCTTTGAGCAGCTGGACGACCTTGACCACGCCCTGGCTGACGTGAAGCAGGTGGGCGCGATCTGGGCAGCAGCTGGGAGGGGTGGGACCTGGCAGCAGCCATACTGGACCGCAGTGGCTCGCAAGTGCCAGCCTTGCGCAGCCAAGCTGGAGGTGAAGCCCATCGCATCAGTGCCTAAGTTGTGGCTGACCTCAAGTCGCCAAGAGACCTGCTGAAAGTGTACTGTAAAGGCGCATCGAGTGTCCACATCCATCTGTGCCGCGTGCGTCAACCTTTGAAGGCGTTGAAGGCCTTAAAGGCTTTGAAGGCAGCCGGCGCCCCTGTTCCCGGCCCGACATGCTGTGTGTCTCTGCTGCCCCTCCCCAAAACCCCGCTCATGCCCATCTCCGTGCTCCCCCAGGTCCTGGAGCTCGACCCCTCCAACCGCCCCGCCGCCGCAGCTGCGGCGCGCCTGCAGCCCATCGTGGCGGAGCGCCAGGAGAAGCTCAAGGACGAGATGCTGGGCAAGCTCAAAGATCTGGGCAACACCATCCTCGGAAAGTTCGGCCTCAGCCTGGACAACTTCAAGGCGGAGCAGGACCCCGCCACGGGCGGCTACAGTATCAAGTTCTCGCAGTGAAGCCTGCGGTGTGAAGTTCGCGCTGTTGACTCGGGGATGGCTGGGCGCGGTAGGATGTGCCACACAGAGGCGTGCGTTGGCAAACGCACAGGGCAAGGGTCTAAATGTTGCCGAGACCCGTACTGGTCCACGCAGGGATGTGCACGCAGGGCAGTTGTGTCACATGTTCCCAATTGGTTTTGCAGGTAGTCCTGGCAGCTTGCGTTTCACGTTGATGCAGACCAACTGGATGCTGCTGACTCAGCTCGATTGAAGGAGAGTGTGTTGTGCGGAAGCATTCCATGACAGAATGGACGTGTGTGCATGTCCTTCGCCTACATTTACACGAGGGATGTCACATAGTAATACCAGAGCGGCGGCCTTGGACCCGGCCATAAGCTTGCTCAACAGAAGAAGGCGCAGCAGCAGATGCATGGCGGGGCAGCTGGGGCCAAGCCTGGCAGTGAGGCAGTGGCCTGCGAAGGGACAAGCGCCAACAGCAGCAACCTAGAGATGCAGCAAATTGCGGACATCTACATACCAGAGGTGCAGCATGGTGCCGAGCAGCATTAGGCCTGGGCGTCTGCGCCAAAATCTTCAAGTTCAAACTATCCCACGGGCAAATGTGCCGCTCAATCCCCCCCTGTGCATACCTCCAAGAAAGGGATGGCCAAAAGAGCCCTGCACACAATCAAAGGATGTCAAAACTGCATGTTAAGGGGCGGGAAGGACCGGATCCGCACCCGCATGCAGATGTCCAGCACGTCCCCCTCATTCACCACACCCGCTTTGTCGCTACTGCTGCTGCCACGGTACCCGCCGCCGGCGGCCGCGCTGCCGCCGCGCCAGGGCCTCAGGGAGAGCACCGGCCGGGTCACCTCGATCCCATCCAGATCCAAAGCCATGTTGGTGAAGAAGTCCGCGATGCCCGCCGCGACCCTGCCCGCCGCCGCCGCGTCGGGCGCCCCGCCGCCCCGCGGCACGTGCTGCGCGCCGACCCGCAGCTTCTTCGGGGCCGCGGCACCGTCGCCGGTAGTGGCGGTGGCTGCTGCTGCGTGGTGCCTGTGGCCGCCTGGCTGCATGAGCACGCGGTAGCGCTCGCCGTCGGCGGCCCAGACGCCCTCGAAGCGCACCTCGCCGCCGCCAGAGGGGTGGTGGACGATCGAGACCGAGTCAGGGTCGAAGGCAAAGGCGTGGCCCTGCAAGGGGAAATTTTTTAGGTCTTTGCATATCACACGGGTGGGCGGCATTGCGAGGGGGAGTAGCAACCGGGTGCAGCGCCAGCGCCAGCTGCCCGGAAGCAAACCGTTGGGCGAATGCAGCAGCGCCGCAATTGAGCGCAGCAGGAATGTGGCTGGCCCGAAATCCGGTGAGAGCGCTCTTACCTGAACGGCCGTCGCGGCGGCACGCAGGAAGAGGGGGTGCTGCGTAAAAGCGCCCAGGTCGCGTGCGTTGAGCGTAATGGTCGTGTGGCCCTGCAATTAGTGGTGCGTTGTATTTGTGAGAACTGTGTTCGGAACGCCTCAGGGCCGCTCCACAATGAGGAGGACAGCCAGGCGCAGCAAGAATCAGCGCCATCAGACGGCGTCGCCAGTCTGGAGGGAGGAGACACCTTCCCACCGCTGCTTTTGTGCCATGGCCTCTGAGGCTGCGCTGCAACCCCAGACCCCTACCTTTGGTGGTGACCCCTTGATGGCCACCTTCCGCTGCATGACTAAGACACCGTAGTCAACGTGCAGGCCGCTGATGTCAACCTGATGTCACCGGCAGGGTGTGGGGTGTGGGGGCTGTGAAAACAAACGAGCTTCGACTCATCTCATCTGCTCTCATCGTGCACGAGAGATTGTGCATAGAAGATTCTGGATGAAGGATAGGGAAAGGAATGCACGGACAGAAGCAACGATACAACTCTTCACGCCTGCTTTCCAGGCGCTGCATAGAGCCACCGCAAAGAGGCACTGCGTACCTCCAGGCGCCGCGCGGTCATGCCGAGCGGCGTGCGCCACCCCTCTCCAATGATGCCCATCGACCTGAAGCGTCCCTCCAGCACACCCATCGCATCACAGTCGACCTGTGCAAATCATAGCAAACAAGGAGAATGACTTGGGAACTATTAGAAGGGCAGGCGAAGAACGAGGAGTCAAGGCGGCACGGGGATCAAGGGGACACGTGGGGTCGCTGACTTTGGGGTTGTGTTTGGGCCGAGAAATTGTCCATTGCCCGTGCCTGCGCCCGCTGGCCGCCGCTGATGAAATCGCATGTGTCTGCAGGCCGTGCATACAGCAGCTGATTTTGAGCCCAGATGAAGCGGCTTGGCTTGAGCCAAGCAGCAGCCATTGCGCCAACTCGAAATTTTGACTTCGAGAGGTAGGCAGCCACCGCTCGGCCCCTGCGGCTGCACCTCTGCGCGGATGCTGTCGTACTCCTTGAGCCGCGCGCGCAGCGACATCGCTACCGCCGCCTGCATAATCTCCGCCGTCGCATCCTGGTTGAGAGGCGTCCACCACCAAGCATGAGGGTGTCGGCATGACAAGGAGTCAAAAGCGCAGGCAGGTGCGCGGTGTTGCGTCAGCAGCCAGCAAACAGTTCCGCTCACCGCATAATCCAACATTCATTTTGCCAGTAGCATTGCCCGGTCAGGGCACCCAGCACTCACCTTGGCTGTCAAAGTGCTCGTGGATGCAGCAGCAGTGCGTACGCTGCTGCGTTGCGGCAGGGCCAAGCGGCAAGATGGCCGCCTCATGCGGTCGCATGCTGGGCGCATGCTTGAGCTCTTTTGAAATCCGAGCCCATGGATTGGCATCGTGTCCAATGGGCGCTGGCCGATCTTCAAGTCACCGAGCTGTTTAGAACGCGGTCAGCGTCTTTGCTGACGATGAGACGCTATATGGGTGTTCATTACAAGTATTATCGAGGGGTACCGGTGGCATGGGTATGGGCGGGATACCCCAATCGCTTTGAGCACACTGCTGCCTGCCACGTTTGCCGTGTGCGGTGTCTACGGTGGTGACCACTCTGCCCCTCGGTAATCGAACCCTCGTCAGTGCATGCATGATACGATACGACGATTTTTGCATATTACAAGTCATTAAAAGTCATCAATCAACGACCCCCAAACTCGATTGCATCTGGGCGCAACTCGGCACTGTGAGGTCACCCGCGTGCACTTCAGTAGCGTTGATGTCGCATGCAGCGCGTGTGGTGCGTGGTGACCCTGGCCAGAGGTGACTCCAGCTGTGAGCACGCTTGTATGCAGCACTCTAGGCCGCCTGCAAGCCCGGTTAGATTATGCGCCAGCTTCACCAAGCTGTCCGTCCTGACTTGCGCAAGGGTCAACTGGGGACCGACTTGCCCCGGGCATATGCGACCGCTGCCGCTGCCGCCAAGATGTTTGGGCTTGTCTGTAGCTGCGACGTGCACGAATCAGAAGGCGCTGCCAGGCAGATTGCGCCGGCCGCGCCTAACCTCCGCCGCCAGCAGCTGGGGCGCACCATCACCTCACCCCCGCGCTTCTTCAAAGTCCCCATGTCCCCAATCAATTTTACTACAATGAGTCAATTGTACATGGTACTGCAGCGCTTGCAAAAAGGCTCAGGTCACTTAGCAACAATCAGTATGGCAAAGTCAAGCTCGCGAACGTCAGTGACCCGTACAGCAGCTGCAGCTGGATAGCAGCTGTGCTGCAGGCGTCACTTGACAGGCGGGAAGCCGCCCAGCAGGTACAGCGAGCCAAAGAGAGTGGTTGTTGTGACGACGGCCATGCAGAAGAGGAACACGCCAAAGGCGGCGCCCTTGGACACGTTGAGGCGTTCTCCGATGGCCGTTATGGCGCGGTCAAAGGCGGGTGCCAGCGCGAGCGCCAGCGAGAGCCGCAGGGGCCTGGAAGAGGGACGGGGAGCGCACGGAGCATGTGTTGTGCCTGGGCCATCGGCCACAATTCTGGTGACGTCAGGGCCCGCCATTAAGTCGTGGGGCGGCAGATTACTTGCCAGCCAGGCACGAGACATGGCAGATGCTTTTGCCGAGCGACTAAAAACTAAATGGCTGGCCTACAACTCGCACCTGGCAAAGTTCTGCAGGGCCCAGAATCCTGCGGGTATGAGCAGTTGGCATTTCGGAGGCAGCAGACAAATCAAACAGGCGGGCCCGGTGGGCTGGGATGTGAACGGCCTTTCAGGGTTCAGGAGGCACCTGGCAGGCGCCGGCAGCTGCGCACTCGGGACTGCTTGCCGCCCAGCCCGTATGAATTTCCTGCAAAGTGGCGTCCGAGCTATTCCTGCACCCCGCATATTTTGCTGTCACAGGGTTTTGTTCAACTCTGGTCAAAGGCATCGTTTGACTCCTCACCCGCATAGAAGGCCAGGAAAGCAGGCCACTGGCCGGGGGCCATTGGGCTGACACCGTAGCGCTTCACAAACGCAAGCCACGCCATGCCGAGCGCAAACCCCTGCATCACATCGTTTGCCGATTGAGAGGTGGGAACGCGTGCTGCTTGCGTGTTGCCTCAAACGCCAACGAGCCACGTGGCTGCTGTGAGCACTTCGACCTTGCAGCCGTGCGCAGTGCGCAGTGTGCACAATAACGCGCCCGCATCCGTGGTGATCGCAGCACCTTGCGCGCCCCTTGCGCCTACCGGCCTCTCACATAGTTCAGGTTTGATATGAAACCGTAGGATGCGAAAGCGCCCATGCCCAGGGCCTTGAGCCGCTCCTTATCCAGGCCGTCTCCTGACAGTGTAGAGGTGTGTGTATTGCGCACGCAGCACGGTGTGATTGGGTGTTTGTGCACGAGCGAGGATACAAGGGCTGCTGCAGGGCGTGGCACTGAGCATAATGGATTGGCAGTGGCGCCTGGGCAGCGGCGGGGCCGGCGTGTGAGGCTCTTGACGGACAGCTGCACCACCTCCAAGAGCGCGCGCCTCCAGACAAGTGCAACGGCTGGTCTTGACTGCAGCCTGCGTCCGAGCAGCTGCACCCAGCACAGCAGCAGGGCCAGAAAGCCGTGCACATGATACGTGCATGCCCGCACGGATGCTTGTGCGTCCGTGCTCCTGCGTATGCTGAGGCTGACCCGCCCTGCTCTGGTTGGCCAGACCCTTACCCAGAAAGAACCGCTTGATTCGCTGCAGCAGCGTCGGCGGGGTCTCTGGGGGCACCTCTGCGGCACCAGCACTAGCATCCGTCGCATGTCGCTGTGTCAGCGGGATGCGCCTGCTGCTCGGGGCAAGCCCCGCACCGGGCCCAGGCATAGCAACGCGCGGCGCCGTGGAGCCGCGTGCGTTGCCCATGCGCAGCCGCAGGCCGCGCGCGCCAAGGGATGAGTGCATGATGTGTTATATGCCGCGAATGAATGCCAATGAGCGAACGCTGGAGTGGGGTGGTGGAGCACGAGCTGTCGTAGTGACGGGTGATCCCCGGTGATCAAAGACTTTTGTATCGAAAGGATGCACCTTCAACTATCACCGTTTGTGAACAGTGTGAAGTGAGCTGCCTGTAATCCTCTTCTTTTGTCCAGGCACTGTGATCGCAATTGGCGCCATGGCACCGGCACTACTCAGCAGGAGGGCTTTCAGAGGTAGCCAAGCCCCCCAATACGTGGGCTGCTCGATGGCAGGCGCTGGGCTGCGACCCCGTGCAGTGAACTGCAGTCGGGCAACGCACAGCGAGCAGCTAGTCGGCACTGCAACTTTGGCCAATGTCCGCATCACCAACGAGTGCAGCAATAGCAGTCCTTCCAATTACAGCAGAACACTCATCACGAGCAGCAGTTATAGTAGCAGAAGCACCAGCAGCAGCAGCACCAGCAGTAGCAGCAGCACCAGCATCAGCGATAGCGCTGCCACAACGCGAGGCTCAGCAGGGCGGCTCGGCCGCCGCTCCTCCCTAGCGGCCGCCGGCGCCACGCTGGCCGTCGCCGCTGCCTCCCTGCCGGCTGCCCTGCTCCGCCCGCCGCCTGCCGCCGCACAGATCGTCGACGAGGCCGTCTGTCAGGCCGTTTTCGAATCTGCGAGCCCTGCGGTCCTCGCCATCGTTGACTTCAAAACCAGGCCGAACGGGGCCGAGGTCTTCGAGCCGCTGGGGTCAGGTGTGGTGTTCGATGACTACGGTCACGTAGTCACCAACTATCACGTGATTGGGAAGTACATTCTGGACAAGACCGGCGCTGCGGGGATCAAAGTCGTCGTGGAGCGGCCGGACGGTACCACCGCCGCGCTGCCCGCGAGCATCATAGGCACGTTGGCGGCGCGCGCCGCGCCTTCCGCAAGTCTTGCCGGACTTCCGACCTGGCCGGCCGCCTGCCAGCGCAGCCGCAACATCGCGCCGCGGCGCGCAAACGCTCCTCGTCGTGCTCGCCTTTAGGCGGCAGCTGGATGCAGCATTCGCCAAGTTGCAATGATCAACACGCACCACCGTGTTTCGTCCACACACTGCCCGTTGCCCTGTCGCAGGCACCGACGCCATGCGCGACCTGGCGGTCCTGTCCATTACCGACGGCGCGCCGCCCGAGCTGCGGCCGCTGCCGCTGGCCGCGTCGGGGGCGCTGAAGGTCGGGCAGAGCGTGTATGCGCTAGGGGCCCGCTACGGCGAGGGCAAGTCGCTCAGCGCGGGTGAGAAGGGTCTTAACAAGCAGCCGTGCTGACCTCTTTCAGGAGTGCGTGGAAGACGGGAAAGCGCTTCCAGCCACACCGTGTTTGGTGGAGTCGGCTGAAATTTGCTTGGGTTGTTGACTGTCTTGACCCAGCATCAACCCTGCACAATCGGTTGCGTACGGCCAGGGGTCGTGAGCGGCTTGGAGCGTGCCATACCTGCCCCGACGGGCACGCGCATTTACGGCGTCATCCAGGTTTGCTGCATGACACACGCGACGAATGGATTATTATGGTTTGTTGGGGGCTCAATCTTGGGCTGGTCAAGGGCAGTCAAGGGTGGTCAAGGGCAGTCCAGCGCTATGGTGTCATTTTGCTCTGCAGGCGCGAGGCGCGACGCCAGCCGCCATGCAAATGTCGGCCCTCCTCCTCTGGGATGCGTAATGAATTCGCGCTGCGGCGGCGTCCCCGCAGACCGACGCGTCCATCAACGCCATCAACTCGGGCGGCGCGCTGGTGGACTCGTTCGGCAACCTGGTGGGCCTGTCAACGGCCATCTTCACCAACAAGAGCACGGTGAGGAAACGAGGGCTCGAGTCGTTCGAGCCTTGCGCTGGCTGGTTGCTTTGGTGGTTGTTGGTTGGCACAGGTGGGTGTGCGGGCATCCATAGTGACGACACGTGAGCCCCCGGCGACGGCAGATGGGACGTGGGCGTGTCGCATCGTCATTCGACCCACGCCGGACCCGGGGCCAAGTGTGGATCTGTTGCCTTGCAGAGTTTGCAGTGTCCCGTGGGACTGTGCAGGGCTACCAGAGGCACCTGCCGACGCGCTGTGTGCCCCAGGCCCTGACCGCCTCGCTCACGGTTGACAGTTGCCCTTGCACCTTGCCATTCACTTTTCTCACCTGCCTGCAGGGGCGCGGCAGTGGCGTGAGCTTTGCACTGCCCACAGAGATGCTGCGGGAGGTGGTACCAAACCTGATTGTGTACGGCAGCGCTTCGGGGCGCGGCGTGCGAGGCGCGACGCCCAGCTAGCGGTGGCATGTAATTGGACATGGCACATATCAACGACCCTGGTGAACTGCTTCCGGCCGCGCCCTGCTCACACTACTTTCACTTTTGCTCGGCCCTGCCGGCGAGTGCTTGCAGCGGTGTGCATGCACTTGTCACCAGGTGACCCCAGCGGGCGTCAGCAGGTTGGTGTCGACGGTATTGAGCCCTTTATTGGGACCCCTGATGCACTAGAGATTAAGATACGCGCACCGCATTGTCCATTCATGCACTGTGTGAGCGGCTTGATCGCTGCGATCTCAAATCACGGCCTCTGCGCAGCTGTCTCTCTTCATTATATCTGAAGTGATCGACCTGCAGCTCTTTGCGCTAGCCTACCCGCCATGGCGCCAAAACGCAAGAAGAAGGCAGATCACGCCAGCGAGCCCCCAGCTCACGGGGAGCTCCTGGCCATATTGGAACAATCCGGAGACCTGCCACTAGAGTACAAGCTGCAGCTGATGCATTGCGGCCAGCCCGCGTGCCCACCTGGGTGCAAGGGCGGGCGCAAGGACAACCCAGCATGCCTGTGCGGCCTGATCCCGGAGGAGGGGCACTTCAGGAAGTCCGGGCTTTTCCAGAAAACGCCAGCGCTTCTCAGCGAGCTCGGCATCGACCCTGCAACGCAGCGTCGCCCGGTGCGTTTTTTCGAGCGGGAACGAGGCATTGCGTGGACGAGCGCCGTCAGCTGACGCTGCCCTGTTGCTTGCGCCACGCCGCCAACAACTACAAGCTGCGGATCGCAGCAGCCCTCGCCCCGTGTCCCTCACAAGCATCGACGTGCGCCCTGCAGGCGCCCGACCGGCCAGTCGGCCTTCGCAACCTCGGCAACACGTGCTACGTCAACGCCAGCCTGCAGATGCTGCACCACATATCAATGTTTCGCGACGCGCTGCTGCGGCTGGAGCCGGAGGTTGCCGGGCAGAAGGTGGTTGAGCAGATGAGGTGCGCAGCGCCGCCCCCGCGCGGGCGGTTGCCGGCGGTTGGCGGCCAGCAAGCGGCTGCCGTTGCGGAGGGCTTGGCCGGCGGCCCCGGCCCGCAGCGCCTGATGGTGCTGCGCGCCTGGCCGCGCTCGTGCCAGGCAGCAGGTGGCTCCTGCAACGTCCCCAGGGCGCCCACCGCTGGCAGCTTCGCAGCCGTTCCTGAGCGGCCCCAGCCGCTCACCAGCCTCGCGTGCACCTATGTTTTTGCTCACCTGCTGCCACGCGCATCAGGGACCTCTTCCTTGCACTGGAGTACGGCCCCCGCTCCTGCGTGGACCCGACAGCGTTTGCCCAGAGCCTGCAGCTCGACCACTCATACCAGCAGGTGAGGGCGCGGACGCACGCACAACGCACACAAGCATGCGCACACGCGCGTGCACAGGCACACAGGTGCCCTGAAGTCGGTCATGAGGGATGGGGTTGCTGGGAGAATGTGAGGTGCTCATGAGTCCAGGGCCATCTTGCGTGGAGAGCTGCTGAGTGCAGCTGCTGCGTCGTTGCCAAGGCAAGGCCGGGGCGGTGGTGCCAGCTCCTGGCCACGGCTGCACGGTTGCGGCACCACCCACTTGGCGGCGTGCGTCCGCGCAAAGTGGTGGCGCACTTTGTCGGCTGGAACGCGCCCTTTGCTGCAGCGAGCGGCTCTCACACCAGGACCCCTTGGCCCTCTCGAGCTGGGGGATTCCAAGAACGCTCAATTCTCGACCCTGGACGATCCATAAGCGGTGATCACCCTCAACCGCCCTGCTGTCAGGACGGCTCTGAGTTTCTGAAGCTGCTGCTTCAGAAGCTGGAGCACGTGTTTGCAGAGTCGCGGCAGCAGGTGCGCCGCAGCGCAAGGGGCAAGCACCACGGCAGCAGCGATTTAGCTTGGCAACAGGGCGAGAGCGCCGCGGTGGGGGCGGCGCGTGGCACCGAGCATGGGCTGCGGGGAGCGCGGCCTGCCTGCCTGGTCGCGGCCGGGCCGAGGGCGTGGTGGCGGCGCTCCGTGGAGGTCAGAGGCAGCTGTGCTATGGAGGACTTTTTGTCGGCTGCCAATGGTCCCTTGGGTGTTCGTCTGAAGGACGGCTGCTGCAGCGCTCTCGTAAGCAGTGCCTCCTCCTCACCTCACAATTCCCAGAAGGAGTGCCCCCTCCGTACCTCACGATTCCCTGACATTGCACACCCCCCTCCATCCCATGGGGCCCCGCCCTTGATCATGTTTGCAACCCTGGTGGTCCCCCGCCCAGCCCGTGCGCGCCGCGATCCCCTCGCTCTTCCGCGGCCGCTGGTCCTACGTCACGACCTGCCGCGCCTGCGGACGCGAGAGCGCGGCCAGCGCCAGCCTGACGGATTACTACGAGATGCCGGTGCAGGTGAGATGGGCCGACCGTCATGATCGTGGCGCGATGGCATGGGGTGATGTCATGATGATGTCACGCGACGAGGCAGTGTGTCGCCAAGACTGAAGTGATGTGTAGACGGCAGTGCAGTCGTGCGGGCGGACAGCGTGCGCGTCATGCAGGTGGGCGATCTCGCGTCTGCTGCAGCGGCTTTGCCAGCTGGCTAGGGCGCGGTCGGCCTTGGCAGGGCCCGCCGCCGCAAAGGGCGGGGAGCCTCACGTCCCACTTGGCCTCCTGCCGCTGCCGCCTACCACTCGTCCCCAGGTGGTGGGCTTCAGGTCGCTCGTGGAGAGCATGGTGCGCGCGCTGGGCGGCGGACGCGAGCCTTCCCCGACCCCGCCGCCTGCAGCACCTGATTTCCAACAGACCCCGCCACGCGTACGCGCTTGTCTACACCTATGGCTGCCCCATGACGCCTGCTCCTGAAGCCACGCACCCGTCGCCCCCTCACTCTCTCCTCCGAATCACGCGTCCGCCTCCAGTCTCATCAACCACGTATTTTGTCAACCACCTGGTCTCACAAACCATCAACAACTCCTAACCCCAGGCGGCCACGCTGCAGCCGGAGGAGCTGGTGGGGTCAAACCAGTACCACTGCGACTTCTGCAGCGGCAAGCAGGACGCCACTCGGTGGGGGTTGAAGTTTGGGGTGGGGTGGATGTGGGTAGGCGGCGTGGTTGTTGTTGACGGGCGGTGTGATGCGGTGTGCCATGGTGTGGTGTGGCATGGTGTGGCGTGGTGTGGCGTGGTGTGGCGTGGTGTGGTGTGGTGTGGTGTGGTGTGTTGTGGTGTTGGTTGGGCTCGTGTGCCGGCGCATGCTGGGGGTCCTATATGTTGTGGTTCACGAAGGAGACTTCGCGCAGGCGGCCGCACTGTCCGTGGTGTGTGTGGAAGGAGTGGGCCGGCATAACGTGCGCATGTGCTTTGGGGCCCCCCAGGCATGAGCACTTGCGCCATGTACCACGGGTGAGTGCGACGTCGGCCGAGGCCTGCACCTCAGCGCGTGCTGCTCGGCCTGGCGACACGCCCCTTGCTGCCGTCCCCGCAAAAGTTGAACAGCCAGCCGCCGCTCGTCGCTCCTGTGCCGCACCGACCGCCCCTGCTTGCGCCACTGCCACCGCCGCCGCCGCTGATGGTCACAGGCAGCTTCACCTGGCGTCGCTGCCGCCGTACCTCTGTGTGTCCCTGCAGCGCTTCGTGTTTGACATGAAGGTGCGCGGCACCAGAATGGATTCGTGGGTAGGAGGGGGTTGATAATATATGTGCACGAGCGATGTGTATCCGCGGCTCGAGGAGGCGCGCCTGCGTCACCTGAGACCCGTGATGCAGCCGCCGCCCCGATCTGCGTCACCGATTCTCAGCGCCCACCCCCCTCCACATCCCTGCGTCCGCCGCGCGTTCGATCTCCCGCGCCGCCTCCCCGCCTTCTGCAGACGTTTGACAAGAAGAAGGCGCTCGACAAGATCTCCTGCCCCACCGCGCTCGACATGGGCACAGTGCTGGCTGCCGCGCAGGTGGGCCGGGGCCCGGGGCGCCTGCTGCAGGCGCGCCTGCATCCCCTCTCCCGCTTACTGCCGGGCTATGAAGAACAGTCGTTCTGCTGTGCGCTACACACTTTTTCCGGCGGCTACTGGCCACATTCGCTTGCCGTCCTGCCTTGGCCCAACCGGGCCTCGTGTTGACCCACGCTTCACCCCTCACCGGGCCCCCAACCTCCATACACTGCGCTAAAACAGGCCCAGGGGGTGGACAAGCTAGAGGCGCCAGCGCCCCTCCCTGAGGGCCTCAGGTGTGGCCCGACCACCCACGGCCAGCGACCAGTGGCCGCGCCCGCGCTGCACCGCACGGCCCCGCTACGGGCATGCCCACATCCGCGTCATGCGGCCGCCGAGCATCCTCCTTTCGGGAGAAGGGGCCGGCCCCTGACGCAGCCGGCTTGGAGCAAGGCGGTCGCTCCTGCTGCTCGCAAGCGCGTCGCCCCTGCTGTCTCTCAATCAAGATTTGTCACTGTAGTACGACTCGCTGTGCTGTGCGTGCTGTGGCATCCCCTCCCCCAGGTATGAGCTGATGGCGGTCCTCATCCACAAGGGCGGCAGCGCCAGCCACGGCCACTACGGTGGGTGTCCTGGGTAGGAGGGCCCAGTACGGCACAGGGAGGCCGCGCGAACCATTTAATCCAGTAGCAGCCAGGAGGCGCCGCGGGCGGGGTGCCGTTGTGCACGCCGCCCGCTGAGACACGCCCATGCTGACGGCCAGGGCTGTTTGAGAATGCAAGGGCGCGTGCCTGATGCTGTCGCTGCGATTCCGCTGCCTCTTGCACTTCCTCCTGAACCCTGTAAATCTCGGCCCCTGCGGCCGGGTCCGCAGTTGCCCATGTCAAGGCGCCAACCACGGGCACCTGGTGGCGTTTTGATGACGAGGCAGCAGAGGAGATGGGCCCAGCCCCCACGACGCACCCCGGCGACCACGGCACCACCGCGCTGGCCCAGGCCCAAGCTGCGGCCGCTGCTGGCGGCGCCGCCGCCGCGGGCACGGCTAGCGGCAGCGGCGTCGCGGCGGCGGCGGCAGCGGCGGGGGCTGGCTCTGGCGGCAGGGGGCGCGGGCGCGGGGCTGCGGCGGCGGGCGCGAAGCGGAAAGGTCGCGGCAGCGGTGGCGGGCGCGGCAAGGGGCCGGGGCGGGGGCGGAAGGGGGATGCGTATGAGTTGGCTGACAGCGGCGCCGAGGAGGCCGACGAGGCTGGGTTTGAGGGGTCCGAGGACGAGGAGGAGGCGCGCTTTGCGAAGCGCCGGAAGGAGTCGGCAGCACGGCGGCGCGGCAAAGGGGCACGCGGCGCGGCGGGGG